TCTCTTCCTTATAGCAATCAATCAAGCTACGTATATTAGAAGACATAACCATATAAATACGTTACGTAAAAATTCTAAATTGCACGCCATAAGTATTGAAAAACCCTCATTATACTACTCTTATTTATATTTTCAGCACTATATGGAGTATATAGTGACATGGAAGCCAATATGGGGAACCAATCACACTATAATTTCTTAATACAAGTTTCGCTCGAAGTCAAAGCACTTTATATTGATGTGTATTTTATAAATGCACTGTGTTTTTAAAATTTTCAATACATGGTTTACATATAAATATCATATTACTACATATATATATATCTTGACACTATTACTTCATAATATTATTGTTCGAGAAACAATCTTACAACTTTCGCTTTAATTAAATGAAAACTCATCGATTCAATACATTTAATAGTGTTAAAAACTATTTGTGTTATTTTGTTTTCTTCACTTATACATGAAATATTAAATGTTACTGATAACATATAATAGACCAATGGACAATAAACGAGTAAACGCAATTTATTTGCATATACAACATAGGTAGACTCAGGTTTAGACTTGGGCTTCGGCACTGGCATAGGCATTTCATTTCACTTCAAATAGTAATCGCTTTCTAGTTAATTTAATAATGGAAACGTATCTGCAATAATATTTACAGCTTAAATTAACTAACGAGCTGAATAACAACAACAGCAAATACGCTAGCAGTCTTGTTGCAACAAGAGCAATGGCAACAACAACTAGCAACATCAACAGTTAAATAAAAAATCAGTTTTCATAGCTTTAAACAGGTGAATTTATGTTGATCGTTTATTGCGACTGGTTGCAACAAAAAAAAAAGTATGTAGACAAAGTAGCACATCGAATAAAAGAAATAAATACAATAATAAAAAACAAATAAAGAAAAATAAAATATAAGAGAAAATATAAAATAATTGTAAAGTAGGAAAAATGTTTCAAGCTGGCAATATAGTTGAACCAATTCGAAAAGTTAAAATTGGTCTCCAACCTCATGTGTCCATTTGCCAAGCAGAGTTGATACAAATGAAAAGTCAAAAAGACCAGCCGGTCAGTATCTTGCATGCTGCATGCTGCTTGCTGCTGCTGCTGCATGTTGCATCTGCATTTGTAGCATTTGTAGCATCAACATAGCGATTGCTTTGGCAGTGCTATGATGGCAGGCGCGCATGTGTTTATTGGAGCGATAATGAATGTCGGGTTAAATGCTTGATTGTTGATCTTAAGCATAAACATAATCAAACACACATGCAACAATTGTTGAATCCAACATATTGCATACTGCATGCAGCATGCAGCATATAGCATGCTACATATGCATGTAGCTATATGTATATTAGCTATTGGATTTGTGCTTAAGTGCTGCGTATCTTTACTCTACGAATACTGCAAATACTGCAAAATATATTGGAATATGTTATCGTTAATAGAGTTTGAAATAAAGTGATTTCATACGATTTTTCATTTATTTTTTTTTTATTTTTCGCTTATCTCGAATGTACAATTTCGTTTTGTTGTTTATTGCTGGACTATTTTCTCTATCATTTGAGCAGGAGCAGAAGCATTTCGTTGTTGTTCGTGTAGTAATACAGAAGGAGGAAAACAATATTTGCTGATATGCCTACAAATATGTGAACTCATTAATTACTCAATTTGTTAAGTGGCTTTTCGTTATTTCCATTATTTTCGTTATTTTAATGAAAAGCATTTTTATGGCATAATTTTTTCATTTGGCAAATTCGTTTGGGTGCTCGTGAAAAGTAACTCATACGCCCCGATGCCATCTAAATTTGATCTCATTTTATAATAGATTTTAAGCGGCTTGTAGAAATTAATGTTTCTGTTTTAAAATTGATATAATTTTATGTTAAATTTTGTTTTTAAGGACAATTATGCTGAAAGAAACTATTTTCTTAATAGAAACCAATTTCTAATAGAAACGTTTTTGAACACTAGTAAATTACACTCTGAGTGTTTAATTATACTACTGGTTATTATTTAAAAAACTAATTACTAACCTGAATTTAAATGTTGGTTAATAAACTTAACATGTTATCAGTCATGCTACCTTTTAGATCTCAGACTTTAAAGTAGCTCAAAGTCAAAAATCAACGTTCTAATATATTTAACTAATATATGTATAAAAAAGGGATAAGTTAAATTGAACTGTTTAGAAGTAATGATTATAATAATCAAAAATTTCATAATAAAACACTTCAAATACTATATTAAATATTTTTTAAAATAACCAATGCGAATTATGAACAACTTTATTTACATTTATATAAATACCACCGATGGTTCGAATTTTATTTGAATTCTTCGTCAGGGCGGACAATCATTAGAACTGATGGTGCCAAACATGAAAGAGCGATATTTTTACTAGAAACTGTTTTCGATTTCAGTTCCCAATGATAAACAATAAACATATTTCTAAAGCCCAGTGGTAAATAGGTATTCCTTCATAGATGTAATATCTGGAAAGTAACTGAACTACTGAATAATACAAATTAATTTGTATCTGAAAAGTATTTTCAAAACTTTTTATGTAACTTTTTAAAAAATTTATTGAAATATCCTAGAGCTAACGTTTTGGTATTAAGTATAGAGCCAAAATACGGAAATTAAAGATCTAAACTTTTTGAAAGGAAAGTCGATATTAAAGAAATGACATTTTAGTTGAACATGCACTGAATAAGAATTATAATGGATTTAGCTCAATCATTTTAAATGAATTCAGACCTTACAGCGGGATGCTTATGAATAAGAATTCGATATAGACCCAGGAGCCGATCTTCTATAAATAATTGGGGTCATTTAAAGATCGTTAGCTGCACATTGAAATTAATGAAAGAATTTTATATCTGAATGGTGCTTTAAGCCTTCCTAATTTTGTAATTTATTATTGAGAAAAGTTGTGCAAATATGAATATTATGTAGTTATATATACAAAAATATATAAAACTTTCAAAAAAAGAACTTTATTAGGGTTAGTATTAAAGTAAAACATAATCCAAAGAAAAAAAAATTTATTTTTGTTATAAGTAAAAATTAATAACAAACCATATGAGAATTATAACCTATTCAACTAGGTAGGTACTATTAGTATAGAAATGACAAAAAACTTGCTGTTTGGCAAAAATAAATTGAATAATAACAAATCATATCAGCATTATAAGTTATTCAACTAGGTAGGTCCTAGCAGCTTAGACAGCACACACAGAATTTGATATATTCGAATTATTCGAACTTTTTATATGGTTCGAACCATTCAAAATCTTTGAAATTTTCGGATTGTTTAAACTAAATTAATTCGGGTTGATCAAACTATTAAGATTGCTCCAATTTTTTTGGATTTTATCAGTATTTGTAGTGTTTGTTAGAAAATACCCCGTTAATTAAAATTATTTAAAATATTGAAACCAGTTATCCTTGTTTGGTGAAAAGCTTGAAGAAATTGAAATTTGCGGATATCACACATGACTTAATTTCAATTATCTATTGCTAATAATTTATATCTGCTTATTTTAATATTAAATTGAAATGCGTACGTTTATTTGGTAAAAAAAAGCCAAATTAGATAATAATAATAATAATAAATGCTATAAATAAACTATGCGACTATATAAAATGTGAAAGTAAAATATTTGCAATTTTAAAATTTGACTGGAAAATATTTTTCGCATTTTTCAGCCACTAATAAGATTTAATATAATAAAAAAAATAAAAATTTATTTTAAAAAAATGTGAAAGTAAAACTGCATTTAATTTAAAATTACCAACACCTACACAACAAATATTGGCTTTTAAAATTGGTTGACATTTAAATTGCTAAACTATTAAGTTTATTTATTTATTGTTGACTTAATTTAAGATATTTGCCCGGAATATACGACAGCCGGTCGTATGGACCATTAAGCCACAAGCTTAACATTTGGGCGCTGAACGCGATCATCAATAATAATTGAAAAATGATTTAGAGTCTGTGGTGGAAACGCTAAGCAATAGATTCGCATTAAGTTTAATTTAGTCTATGGATTAGAGTTAATGATTAATGTTGGCGTTGGGAAATGATATATATACGGAAAATTGTACAGACACTTGTACGGTGGTGTGGTTTCGATAGAAGTGCACTTGTTGAGTTTGACTGTGGGTAATATTAAAAGAATTAATGTTATTTTATGAACTCTTAAAGTTTTATTAAATATTTGAAATATATATGTATATGACGATATTTTAATTTTCTTTCTTGTTATATAAAATATACAATAACATTTCATATGTTTGCTTTATGGAACAGTATTCCCTGTATATATCTTATGCTTGATACTTGTTTAAAAATTATAAACGGAAAATTGAATCCTTGAATATTTTCAAAGATCACTCATGATGGATGTTTGACAATGTTTGAAATAGAACAAGCTGAAGAATTACTTGATTGATTTAAGGGATTTAAGGTTAGGAAAGATAGGTTCCATACTGTCTTTTATTAAAGAAATCGGACTTGGAGAAAAACTCTAATCCGGGCACATTAGATCTTATAGGTAGCAGTGCACTATCTCTTTTAATAATTATTTATAATTATTAATTATATTAATTATTCACTTATTCAGTTATGCCCTCATTATTACTCTTTTTACTATTCGCGATGTCTTGCCACAAGACGTAAAAATTTCAATTAGATATACTTATATATAAATCCTATAAAATACAGTCTTTAATACTGCTTTAAAAATGTAGCTCAGTATGTAAACAGAAAAATATATGTTTACTAAAAGTTTAAGAGATATTAGCAGAAAATTAAGTGCAAATATGCGTGCCTTTGATAATGATAGGAACGCACGCAATTAGGCTCTTAAACAGTTTACTTATGGGCCTTTTCATGCCTGGGTATGCTTCCATATATAAACGTCACGTTATAGTATTTATACTCAAAGTGAACTCACTGCAATTTATCTTCTCTACAAAGCAGCATGTTGCAATCAATGCAATTAAATGCACTAACGTATTCGTCAATTCTCATTAATTTCATAAGTAATGGCTTTGAATCTGAATCTTTTTAGTGTAAGGTCATGGAACCGCCATTAAATATCTTTTTACTTTTAGTACAAAATTATTTTTCAAATTCAACATCGACATGTATAATTTGGCATCACGACATCGATTTTCAACTGGATGCAACAATAAAAGGCACAACTAATCAGTTTGTTAATATTGGGTTAGATACTCTATCGGTTGATATTAAAAAAGATATCTATAACTATAGTGTCAAAGAGGAAAAATTTTATAAAAATAATTTGGCATTTGATTTATTGATAAAAAAATTAACTGTTGCTGTGGAACATACACACTGTGAGGTATATCTGATTTATTAAAATATTTTCAATTAGTATACAAAAAAAATTAGTGCTCTACAGAATCGAGCAATTGAAATGTTTTAATAGTGAGAATATTCTTATAAATCTTTATTATATAATGCTTATAAAATAATATAAAAGAAGTATTAGCAATAATTATATATATAATTTCTCACAAATTTTGTATAGACCTTTTTAGTTTCTCAGGATCACATACCGATCTTTGCGAAAGCCTTCCTTAAAGCAAGCGTATATTCTCTATGGCGTTCTCAACAAATTAGATTCTTATTTATCTACTATAAAGACAATAACTCCGAGGATTTCTTCAATGGACAGTTATTTAAAGGTAATTACCTAACATAATGTCACAACTATAGAAGAGTTTTTAATATACCTAAGATACTGAACCCACATATCAAACAAAAATTTAGAAGATGGTTAAAGTAAAAAAAAAAAATATAGAGTACAGTAATAATATAGAAAATATAGAAAAATATAGAATATAGAAAAAATGACAACATTGAAAAGTGGAAAAATGATTAGAAGATAAAAACAAAAACAAAAAAGAAAGAAAAAGGAAAAACGTAGACGAGTAAAAATAATAGATATGAGGAATAAAGAAACAGAGAAAGCGATTATAGAAAAATAAAATCTTTTATTTATGTTATTTTCTATATATCTTCAGAAAGAAATATTTTAACACCATATAAGAGTCTAATTTAAATTCAATATGTAAAAATTTTACTAATTCTGACCTTAGATCAAGCAAACATCCTCATTATTGAAGCTGAAAACAAAAACTCTAGTCAATTCACCTTAAAAACAAATAAATTTGTAGGATCAATGTGGTCAAAACCAGAGAAATTGTATGAAGTTGCGCATATCGATGTTCTAAGGGAGCCCATGGAAAACTTACCAAGGTTATATATAGATAAATTACAAGATTTACAAGGTCGTGAAGTAGTAGTTGGAGCTTTCGATTATAGACCAATGGTAGTCATTGACTATGTAAGTAAATGCTTAGGTACAATAGCAATTTAATTTTTTTTTATATAAAATATTATAGAATATTTGGCCCCAAATGAATGATCGTGCTTTGGATAACAAATGTGGAAGTGTACATATAAATGGGGCTGAAGTTCGTGTACTCTTAACTCTGTGCGAATTATACAACTGTACTGTGGAAGTTGATACATGTAAGAAATATATATAAAACTTATATAGTATTTCAATAGATATATCAGTTATAGTAACCCATATATATATCTTTTCAATGACTTCAGCTGAAACAGAAGAATGGGGTTTTATATATGCCAATTCTACTGGTGATGGATTATTGGGTTTAATAATTGATGGAAAAACTCATACAGCTTTCGGTGGCATGTATTCGTGGTAAATAAAACAAATTTTCAAACTTTAATAAATTTTTAATAAATAAATTATAAATAAACTACAAAAAAAACGTAGATTTTATATATAAGAATCTTGCATTTTTTTCTCAAAAGGGATACAGTCTATACTTACTTGGATATTACTACTTTCTTGGGGCGTTCTGGTATAACATGCATGGTACCTGCACCTAAGAGAATAATAAGTTGGTCACTGCCATTGAAACCTTTTCAGTTTTCATTATGGCTGGGCGTTTTGGGCTATTTGTTTATAGAAACAATTGCTTTATTTGCAACCACTACCATAGAACAAACTATAGTGCATAATAAGCAGTGTTGGAAAAGTAATTTTTACTTTGGCTTGGTAACAACACTGAAACTTTTCATATCACAAAGTTCTCAGAAAGTTGTTACATCAACTACTGTAAGGGCTCTACTTTTTTCTATGTATGCAGTTGATATAATCATTACAAGTATATATGGTGGTGGATTAGCTTCGATACTAACACTTGTGACGTATGTGATATATTAATAAACGATAAAAATTTAATATTTGTTTAACTTTTTACAGTTTTGATGAAGCCGCAGACTCTTTAGAACGTCTTTATAAATACCAGTTACCTTGGACAGGTTCATCAGATGCCTGGGTGACAGCTATACGTGCTGTGAAGGATGATGTAATCACTACTAATTTATATATATATTCTTTTCTTCAATTTCAATCCTATTCCACAGTCCTAATTCCTTATATCCTCATCAGCAATGACATTCCTTTTTCTTTAGCTTCCATTTTTATTTCTTTCGAACTGTTCTTTTTCTTCCCATTTTTAGATTTTTCTCACTTTGGGATTTTAACCTTATTTATATATTTTTTGCTTTCTTTATTTCATATAGCCCATTATTATGGGTGTTCTAGCGAATTTTCATGTTTATAGTATCGATGAAATGCGTTCTAAAGCAAAAATTGCAAATATGGGTTTTGTATTGGAACGCATGGAATTTGGTATGTGACTAATATTATATTTTAAAAAGAACAATAAAAAATTATTATAATTTTAGGACATTTTGGTAATAGTGAATTTCTAACTACAGAAGCTTTAAGCCGCTTAAAATTGATGATCGATGATATATACTTCCAATTTACGGTAGCTTATGTACCACGCCTATGGCCACTTCTACCAAAATTTAATGATCTAATATTGACATGGCATTCAACGGGATTTGATAAGTATTGGGAGTGGAAGATAACTGCTGATTATCTTGATATCAAACAGCAAAATCAAATGAAAGCTTCAATGTTTTATAATTTTGATATTGGACCCGTTAAACTGGGTATTGATAATTTCTCTGGTCTTATATTAATTTGGTTTGTTGGTATGTCGCTAAGTATTCTGACATTTATACTGGAATTGTGCTTATATAAAAAGTAAGAACTTAATGGAAAGAGCTTCATAAAGCATAGTAGCAATAGTTTAACGGTTTATGAGTATTATTTTTACAAAATTATTATCATTTTTTGTAATAATTTTTATATTAAATATATGTTTACGTTGTCACTATTTTTACAATTTTGTTTATATAAGCTTAAGGTAGTGTAATCTTTAAAAAAATTATTTTTTATAATGATGTGTGTAGCACCTATGTGCTATGCAATATCACCATTTTTATATAAATCATACGTTAATACAATATATTTTTATATTTAGATTCTATACATATTCATTTGTTAATTCTTATGTTGTACCTTTTAATTTTATTCTACTTTTTTTTACTTTTTACTATTCTACTTTTTTTTTTTCTTGATTAAACTCTTATTAACATATTTAATTTGTTTCACTCATTTGTTAATTTTGGTCAATTATTGGTCAATTATTCGTATAATACATAACTTTTTAAATTCAGATATAGTAAATTTTTTAAATAATTGACTTTATAAAAAATATTAAACTTTATAAATGTATTATGTATAAACTTTCCATTTATATATATATAAAGTTAGTTTTATTTGTATATTAATAAAGTCAGTTTTGCATATTTTTATTTTATTTATTTAATTTGACTTGATATTTTTTCATTTGCAACATTTTCTTTTCAAATTATTATTTTTAATTTTATTTTATCTAAAGCTAACAGTTAGTTATAACTGTTAGTTTCACTATTAATCCATCTTAATCCATACTACACATTTCATTTATTTATTAAAATATTTATTTGGTTTTAAAATTTAAACGAACATTAATATAAAATGCATAAAAATAATAAAATCAAAAAAAAGGTACATGAAATGCTACTAGAGTGCATCTCTACATAGTAGGACCACCAACATGTTGCCGCAATAACAGCAGCGCATAAACACTTGACTTAATGGTTCGAATGTATGTAGATAATGAAATTTTTTCATGCTATTATATATAAAATAAAATGTTAAACAATACATGAAAGAAATAAAATAGTAATAAAAAATTTTTAAAAATAAAAAAGTAATAAAACTTTAAACTTTACTACATATAACTGCATAAGAATTGTGTATTAAAATTTATGCAAACCAACGACGCATGTTTACACACGTCAAATGAAATGTTGCCAAGAAATAACATTTGAAGCTACACCGTTGTTGCCACACTTAACAGAAAGAAACAGAAACTGTAACATAACGTGGCTATGGTGAAGTGTAGTCAAAAGAGTAGTGACGTTGGTGCGCAAGTGTCTAAACGCATCCTGTAAAAAAGTTAAATAACTTCAGAAATACAGACTTCAAACGATTTAAAAGCAAAATATGAAATAAATGCGAATAATAATAAATAAAAATTAAAAGTATTGCATGAAAAAGGAAGCCCACGCCACATCAGTCAAGTGTAGTGCAGTGCAGTGCAGTGAATGTGTTGCTAACTTTGCTATCGTAATTATAGCCAACTGCAGATACAAATACTTACAACTAGATAGACAGTCAGAGAATCAGACAGACAGTGAGTTAGACCTGCAGTCACTTAGACAGACAGATAGACATAATGTTGCGTTTATGGCGTCTTTGTAATTTTTTTCCAGGGTTTCCGGAGTAAAGATTTGGTTGTTATGCTATTAAGACAGTAGCTAAAGCTCAGGTGTGCGTATGCAAGCGCGAGTGGGTCGAGGCTTCTGGTGTTGGGTTTGTAATTTTCTGGATGATTTCTATTTATGCGCAGCAGAAGCAGACAGAATTGTATCAAAGCGATATTGGTTACTTGTCTTTTTTTTTTGTTAATAGTAAATAATAATTTTCTTATTTCATTGCCACTTTGTTTTGTTGGCAAATGTTATTACTACTGCAACAACAACAGTTCTATGTTCCAGGTATATATCCTTTGCGGCTTCTATAGTTTTTCTTTTCTATTTTTGATATGCGCAAGCTGATGATTTTTCAATTTGAGTGCGCAAATAGCAATAAAATGTGGTGAATTTTTTTAGTGTTGGTACCTCACCGACCACAAATATGACTACTGACTGCCACGAAGTAGCATAAAAATATGTTGGTTTTGTTTAATAGTTTACCAACTGTTATACCTTGACTATCTTAGCCATTCGTATAGCTACTTTCAAGCAACTTAAATTATGTTGAAAGCAATTTTCTGCTTCAGTAGCAGTAAAGAAGGAAATTCTTTTGATTTATAATAACACTTGTATGAGAGAAAATTACGTTTTCTTTTGTATATTTATAATAAAAATATGAAAAAAAAATAAAAAAAATATTAAATAATTTTTTTTTCTTAGAAAAACATATTTTATACATATTTGTATAAATTTTGAAATTAAAATTTCTTTTTATTATGGCATTAACTACACAGTTAAAGTGCGCAAAAATTTAATTAAAACTTTATTTTATTAGATTTTAATTTAGTTGAAGTGTTTGAGGTGTTTACGTAGGCTTAGACAAGCGTAAATTTGAAGTCATATATTTTCTTTAAATCATAATAAATTTTTTTTGTAAATATTATTGGTATTGGTATGTAGTGCTTTTAGATAGCAAATCCATGTTTTTGGGCGTAGCTACACAAATGCACACAACTTGCTCGTGTAGTGAACACGCCTGCTGTAAAACTCCTAAAACTGAACATTTTAGTAGGCACCAAAAATGCCATTAATTCCACAATAAATCCCGGAATGCTTTTCTAATGCCAAATAAAGAAGCGTATAGTTAAAAAAATAATTAAATAAAAATTAAAATAATAAATTAACACTTAAAATTAATTAGACATTTCTATAAAAAATATAATTCTAATTTCTGTGAATTAGAATTAATGTTAGGAGGTGTAGCGACCGTCGGATCTATTGTGCCCCCTTTTGGGCTTAGAGTAGGTCTCTAAGCCCTGTTGCGTCAATAAAAAGTAGTATAAAACCTACTTTACAGAGTTTTATTGTCTCTATCGTAAGAATATACATTTCCAGTAGCCTTTCTGTATATGCATTAGTGCAGGGCATTCTAACAGCACACGTTTGGCCGACTCCTCATTCTCTACACAGAATCTACAGTTTGCATCCGTAAGTATACCCAGTCTTGTAAGGTAGTATTTTAGTTTATAGTGCCCTGTTAGGATTCCTGTGTTGATTCTAGGTTTTTCTTTTGATAGATTCATACAATTCCGGTATCTCTTATTTGTGTAGGTACCAATAAGTTATTTGGATTGTTTTAATCCTGGTATATTATCCCAGTAATCCTTTTTATTCTGGTTTCAAATTAAGTTTCAAGTTCAAATCATTTTTAATTCAATTTTAAATAATTTTTAATTCAATTTTATATAATTTTCAATTCAATTTTAAATAATTTTTAATTCAATTTTAATTCAATTTCAAGTTTCGAATCAATTTTTAAAAACAATAATTTGAAATACTAATGTAAAGTCTAAAAAAACTACTGATATAATTGTGACTTGCATTTGCCCGATAGACAATTCAATTTTATTATCAATTGCAAATAAGAAATATGTAAATTTTATTGTAACAACAGTCAAAAAGTAACAACAACAACACCACAAGCAACAACAATAATAACAACTAAAACAACAGCAACTGTCAATAGCTGTCAATATGAAATTTAGTTTGGCAACAGGCTTGTGCCACACCATACAAATGGCTGATGGCATATTACAGTTTATTCAATATCGAAAAATATAAAAAAAAAATAAAAAAATAATCAAATCAAAAGTGAATAAAACAAATAAAAATAAAACTAAATTAAATCTAAGGTAATTTAAACCAAGTTACTCAACACTAGCCAGCGCCAAGCAATATTGTTTAGTGGCATGTGCTACCCAACATTAACCAATAACGTAGCGAACAGCATAAAATTTGCCTAAGCCGAAACTGCAAGTCAACACTGCTCTCGATTGTAGACATTTGTTGCGGCTGTTATGTTATTGTTGTTGGCAACATTGTTGCTAATGCCGTTTGCTGTCCAACTTATGCACTGCATATTCCTCACATTATGTAGTTTCAATTTCATTTTACAATTGTAAAAATGATCAACATTTGATATAAAAGTGTCTTATTAAAGGCTTTTATGTGTCTAGTTTAAAATGTTTGTGTTATTATTGTTGTTATTGTTGTTGTTATATGTTGGTAACAATATATTCGTTAACCTTTTTGAACTTTATCAAATTGAAAAAATGATATTTGTTTATAATAACAAAAAAAAAAAAACGCACAAAAATTGATTGAAAAAATTGAAAATCATTGCAGCTTAACTTCATTTGGTGGTACAATGTACAATGCACATAGCTCTGTAGTCTGGAGTGCGTGCAACTTTGATTTATTGGCTTACAGTGGTCAATTAATGTTTGCGTGCATGTTACACCCTCGTACAGCTGCTGTCTGAGCTTAAATGATTACATTCAAGCTCAGGTTAAATATATTGTCAACATTTTATTTTTTGTCAATTTTGGAAAAAAAAATTATTTTCCTTCAATTTTTGGCATATTGTGATATTGTAACAGTTGACAGCTAATAGCTTGCAAGAGAAAAACTAATTTACAAGTGCGTATTACTGGTAAAGAAAAATTTTTTTAAATATATATCATATATATATTTTATATACATATATTTTAAATATATACATATATATTTAAATAAAATAAATTTTAATATATATTAAATAATTATAAATAATATATATTATATTTAATAATAATTGTAAGTTTGTAAATTCTGAAATATCTGAAATATCACCTTCATAAACTACAATTATCTGCTAACTCGGAATCCAGATTATGCCTCGAAGATGAGGAAACGACCATGCACATTCTTTGTGACTGTCCAGCTTTAATAACGCACAGAAGAAGCCTGTTTCATAAAGAATTCCTGTCACCAGAACAAATTAAGAACTCTTCTCTAGATTTAGTTCTAGACTTTATTCACAAAGCTTTAAGGGGCTTTGTTTGATCAATAGTGAAACTG